ATTTGCTGTTGTTGGGTCTCTCTGATGTGTTTGTGATGTCACTGCAGGTGGCGAAGGCGTTGTTTGATGGGCAGCTTTTGGATGTTTATTTCACGCGTTCCTTTTATAAGCACATACTTGGTGTGAAGGTGACTTATCATGACATTGAGGCGGTGGATCCTGATTACTACAAGAATTTGAAGTGGCTGCTAGAGGTTCGAGGACTTGTCTTAATTTACCTTTATCTATTATAAAGCTCATAAATTGAAGTCCTGCTTTCTAGAGTCTTATATTTTTCCCTTTTTTGTTTATTCAGAATGATGTGAGTGACATACTCGACCTCACCTTTAGTATGGACGCAGATGAGGAAAAACACATTCTTTACGAAAAGACCGAGGTTTGTGATAATAATAGATGTTTGTTCTTCTGTTCATTATCTCAAAGTGCCTACCATATTGAATTGATCATTTTATCTTTATTGAAAAGGTGACGGACTATGAGCTCAAAGCTGGAGGAAGAAATATACGGGTAACGGAAGAAACAAAACATGAATATGTTGACCTTGTGGCCGGCCACATACTTACCAATGCTATTCGGCCTCAAATCAACGCCTTCCTCGAAGGCTTCAACGAGTTGATACCTCGTGAGCTCGTGTCAATTTTCAACGATAAAGAGCTTGAGCTCCTAATCAGCGGGTTGCCTGAGATTGATTGTAAGTTTAATCAATATTGTTGCATGTATTTGTTTATGGACTGAGAACTTGTAATAACACACTCTTGTTATTTCTTTCTTTTTTAGTTGATGATCTAAAAGCCAATACCGAGTATACAAGCTACACGGCAGGATCCCCTGTTATTCATTGGTTCTGGGAGGTCGTTAAAGCTTTTAGCAAAGAAGATATGGCTAGATTTCTTCAATTTGTCACCGGAACATCTAAGGTAAAATCAATAGTAGCATTTTCTGTCAATTGAGATTGATATCCTGATATCCGTGCTTGGTTTCTTTCTGGTTGTGTTGATGATCTCGATCTCCTTCTCTTCCCTTTTTACAAGTGGTGTTTCTGTTTTCAGGTTCCTTTGGAAGGCTTCAAAGCACTGCAAGGTATATCTGGCCCTCAAAGATTACAAATCCACAAAGCATATGGAGCTCCGGAGCGGCTGCCATCAGCTCATACATGGTTAGTAGTCATTACAAATCCTCTTTTTTTCTCATTTAAACGGTTAATTCTCACGTCTGTTTCCTTCCAATCTTGTTGTGTTTCAGTTTTAACCAACTAGACCTCCCTGAGTATCAATCTAAGGAACAACTCCAGGAACGCCTGCTACTTGCTATTCATGAAGCCAGTGAAGGATTCGGTTTTGCTTGAACAAAGAAACTTTATCGAAGCCCGTCACCTTCAGAATCAGTAAAAAAGCCATCAATCAATCCTTCATTCTTTTGACTCCTCTGTACATGTAAGTAAAGCTTCCTGCTTCTACACATTAGAGATTCACCAGTAAGTGCAATATGAAATTACACAAATCTAAAGGCTTCACTGACTTTGTTGCAGATGTTGAAGATTTTCAGGCAGGGACAAGGAGAAGAGCGACTGTAGAATGAACAGAGAATTCAAGAGGGCTATTTTTATGTGTCCATATATATTGTTAGTAGTAGACTCTTAATTAGGG